TTTCCTTTCAGTTCTAGAATTCTATAACTCTATCCTTCACACCATGCTTTAAGGATCTATGCATGAAGACGTGTCTGGGAGTGGGACGATGGATGGAGGATCCCTTGCACAACAGGGAAGGAAAAGACCCTGATAGGACTTAAATATTTGAGTAGATAAGGCCACAGAAAGGGGAATTATTTCTTCTGTCTCATTATTTTGTCGACCTGTTATTTTAACTTCTGCTAATCATATAAAGCCCTATGACATTTGGCTAACTCAGCAGAACTACTTCCAAGTCACGAAAATATTTTGAGCCTCTATAAAAAGAAATATAAAGTGTTATGTCCAGTAAAAATTAGGAACTTAAAGATGAAAAGGAAGTTGAAAGGGACAGCATAGGAATTAAGGAAGCAGTCTGGGCAAGGATTAAGTGGATAAGAATTAGAATTTCAAGTTTAATTGGAAAAGAAATAAAGTCAACCCCCTAAAGGAGCACTCATCCATTCAAGTAATCTTTAAATTTTGTGTCTTATAATACACTGTGCTAAATTCTGTGGAACAAGCATTCTAAATAAAACTTCTTTTTACCATCATGAAATTTAAGGCCAAAAATGATAGGTAAGAGAACTAAAATAATGATCATGAGACAAAATGCACATATAGAATCTGCAAAAAGATTCAACCACATATACAAATTAAGAAACTGAAGAAGTAATTTCTCATTGGTAATTTTTTTTTTGAGACAAAGTCTCACTTTGTCACCCTTGGTACAGTGCTATGGCTGTATAGCTCACAGTAGCCTCAAACTCTGGGGCTTAAGCGATTCTTTTGCCTCAGCCTCCTAAGTAGCTGGGACTACAGGCACCCACCACAATGTCTGGCTATTTTTTTTGTTTGTTTTAGAGACTGGTTCTGGCTCAGGCTGTTCTTGAAACTGTGAGCTCAGGCAATCCACCTGCTTCAGCTTCCCAGAGTGCTGGGATTACAGGTGTGAGCCACCTTACCCAGCCCTATTTATTTATTGTTTTGGGCTTAAGTGATCCCCTTGCCTCAGCCTCCTAAGTAGCTGGACTACAAGCACCCACCACAATGCCCAGCTATTTTTTTAGAGAAGAGATCTTGCTCTGGCTCAGACTAGTCTCAAACCTGTGAACTCAGGCAATCCACCCTCCTTGGCCTCCCAAGTGCTGGGAGTACAGGAGTGAGCCACTGCGCCCAGTGGTAATTTCTTTTCTTTTTTTTTAAGAGAAGGGCTCTCACTCTGTCTCCAAGGCTAGAATGCTGTGGCCTAATCATAGTTTACTGCAACCTCAAACTCTTGAGCTTAAGTGATCCACCTCCATCTCCCAAGTAGCTGAGACTACAGGTGCATGCCACTACACCTAGTTAATTTTTTTTAATTTTTTGTAGAAAATGGGTCTTGCCTAGGCTGATCTCAAAGTCATAGACTCAAATAATCCTTCCACCTCAGCCTTCCAAAGTGCTGGGTTACAGGTATGGGTCAGTGTCTCTGGTTGGCATTATAAAAGAATTTTTTTTATTTTAGATTCTCACTGTGGGCTCGGCACCTGTGGCTCTAGTGGCTAAGGCGCCAGCCACATACACCTAAGGTGGTGGGTTCAAATCCAGCCCAGGCTGGCCAAACAACAATGATGGCTGCAACCAAAAAAAGCCAGGCATTGTGGTGGGCACCTGTGGTCCCAGCTACTTGGGAGGCAGAGGCAGGAGACTTGCTTGAGCCCAGGAGTTGGAGGTTGCTGTGAGCTGTGATGCCATAGCACTCTACCCAGGGTGACAGCTTGAGGCTTTGTCTCAAACAAAAAAAGAAAAAGATTCTCACTGAGTTGCCCTAGGTAAAGTGCCATGGTGTCATCATAGCTCATAGCAACCTCAAACTCTTAGACCCAAGCCATCCTCTTGCCTTAGTCCCAAGTAGCTGGGACTACAGGTGCCTGCCATGAGGCCAGCTAGTTTTCCTATTTTTAGTAGAGATAGGGTCTTGCTCTTGCTCAGGCTGGTCTTCAACTCCTGAGTTCAAGCAACCCACCTGCCTTGGCCTCCCAGAGCGCTAGGATTACAGGCATGAGCCACAGCACCAGGCCATAAAAAACGTTTTAAGAAAGAGATAATGTTTGAGCTTGTTCTTGAAGAATGTGTAGGATTTCAACAGGTAGAGATTAAGGAAGAAGGAAAGAAGAGTTAAGGTAAAGGACATAATTCCAGATAGAAGCAAATAGCATTAGCCAAGGAATAGAAAATGACATACAGTTGGAATAGTGAGGTTATCCAGTAAAGCTATAAAGTAGGGTACACTTACGAGAGTGTTGAGAATTAGAAGAGCCTAATATCACAGAGGCCAAGACAAGGGAGTGTTAAGAAGTCAAAGAATCAAATGACAATATTATATTGTAGAAGATGATGTCAGAGAAATGTTTAAATTGGTTTCTTAGAGGTAATTTTAGCAGAGTGATGGAAGCAGAAGATGAATTACAAATGATTAAGTGGGCAGAACAACACGCCCCAAACAAGCTGGTATCTTTGAAAAAGAGAAACTGTGCTAAATTAAGGGACTTAAAAGACATAACACCCTGATACAAAGTCTGGTCTAGGTTGACTATTATTGACAAACCAGCTGAGAAAGATGTTGTGATGAACAGTTGGAAAATATAGATAAAGACTGGATATTCCTGTGAGGTGCCTGTGGCTCAAAGGAGTAGGGCACTGGCCCCATATACTGGAGGTGATGGGTTCAAACCCAGCCTCATCCAAAAAAAAGGAAAAAAACTGAAAAAAAAAAAAGACTGGATATTCCTTACGGTACAATCTTACTTTATGTAATGTGGAAACTGCCAACTGAAAAAAAGAAAATTTATAAAACAATATGCAGCTCAATGGTTTGAGCACCGGCCACATGCACTGGGGCTGGGGGGTTTGAACTCAGCCTGGGCCTACTGAACAAACAAACAAACAAGAAAATAGCCAGGCGTTGTGTCGGGTGCCTGTAGTCTCAGCTACTAAGGAGGCTGAGGCAAGAGAACTACCTGAGCCCAAGAGTTTGAAGTTGCTGTGAGCTGTGATGCCCCAGCACTCTACCCAGGGCAACACTATAGTCTCCCCCTGTCACCCAGGCTAGACAAAAAAAAAAAAAAATTGCATTTATACTCATGTTCATAGATGCATTAAATGTCCTCCAGTGGATGACTGAATAAACAAAATGTTGTATATACATATAAGGGAATATTATTCAACACTTAAAATGAAGAAACTTCTGACACATACCACAACATGGAAGAAATTTGAAGATTTTATACTAAGAAAAATAAGCCAGACAGAAAAAGACAAATGCTATATGATTCCACTTAGAGTTGCTATAGTAGTCAAATTCATAGGAAGTAGAATAGGGGCTGGGGGCAGGGAAGAGGAAACAACAAATTGTTTAACAGGTATAGTTTCAGTTTTGTAACACGGAAAATCTGTGGAAATTGGTTATACAGGGCGGAGCCTGTGGCTCAGTGGGTAGGGCGCCGGCCCCACATATTGAGGGTGGAGGGTTTGAACTGGTCCTGGCCAAACTGCAACAAAAAAAATAGCCATGGCTCGTCGCCTATAGCTCAACCGGCTAAGGCTCCAGCCACGTACACCTAAGGTGGCGGGTTCGAATCCCCAGCCCGGACCCGCCAAACAACAATGACAGCTGCAACCAAAAGATAGCCAGGCGTTGTG